ATGTAACTCCAGGGAACATCGTATAACTCCAGGTGACATCATGTAACACCAGGTAATACCAGGTAACATCAGGTAACATCATGTAAATCCAGGTAACATCATGTAACTCCAGGTGACGTTATGCAACACCAGGTGACGTCATGTAACACCAGGTGACATCATGTAACACCAAATAACATCATGTAACACCAGGTAACATCATGTAACTCCAGGTAACATCATGTAACACCAGGTAACATCATGTAACACCAGATAATATCATGTAACTCGAAGTAACATCATGTAACACCAGGTAACATCATGTAACACCAGGTAACATCATGTAACTCCAGGTAACAGGTAATATGTAACACTAGGTAACATCATGTAACTTCAGGTAACATCATGTAACACCAAGTAACATCATGGTAACATCAGGTAACTCCTTGTCTCTGCATCTGTACCTCTGTGTAGAGCAGGAAGCGGACCAGGCCCTCACTCAACTTCTCTCTGCCCTTGCGGGTCCCCCCCTGGTTTGATGGCTCTCCTGTTGAGTTCTGACCCAGCTGTGTCTGCAGCAGGCGCTCCCACTCAGCTCTGAGGCTCAGGGCTGAGGACAGAACCCTCAGAGCCTCCTCAGGCACCTTCAGTTCCAGCTCCAGCCAACCGTCCACCACCAGCCGCGTACAGTCAGCGTTGGTGTCCAAGCTGTTGGCTACCAGCAGCAGAACCTGGAGAACCCATTAACGAGCAGAACATCAGTTATTCTCACAGTTGTTTTCACCTTCCTTCCATCTGGTTAACCACCCAGTTATTTGTTCTCTTCCAGCTGTTTTAACGTTACAAAGAAGACCAGAACATCTGATACCGACCTGCAGAGCTGGAACCCGAACACAGTTGGACAAATAGGGCCTGTTGGTCTCCAGCAGAGTGACGAAGGCCAACAGCTGGTGTTTGCTGCTGTCCCTCCGATCAGGGCCTGTAGGGAGGAAACACAAACGAAGAAATAATAATAGTTTACATTTTAAGACCATAAACCAGGAGTCACTGAAGATTTTCTGAACTTCTCTGAGCTCACTACTTTTATAAAAACTCAGAAGAGATGGAGAGATTGCTTTACTCATCACAATCCGACCGGTATTCTCAGTTACTTCGTCTCTAAATGAGGTTTACCCATTTCTCTGCTGTCGTCCTCAGGTACGTGCAACACCTCCGGATCACTGGCAAACACGCTGGTTGGGTGGATCACCACTCCCTGCTTGTTCCTGGTGTGAAACACCTTCAGAGCAGGAAAAAATAAAAAGTAACTATGAACGTTGATTCCTAAAAATGAACACTACTGCAGCAGACTCTGTGCTTTGCACTCATTTATATGTCAACACGTCTAGCTCCTAGCTTTTTTTAGCTAGTGTTTTGCTACTTTAAGCTTCTAAATACTGTTCCACTATTTCAGTTTTTATGTTTTTTTAAACTCCCAGCTGCCATTTGACTACTTTAAGCTATTTTTTTTGCCATTTTATATGTTAGCTAGTTTTTTTTTTTTCAACTTTTAGCTTCCAATGAACCCTTTGCTACATTTAACTTTTAGATAGATTTTATTTTAGGCTTTAAGCTAGTGTACTGCTACCATTAGCTTTCATATACTATTCTGCTACTTTTAGCTTCTAGCTACATTTCTGCTACTTTTAGCTTTTAACAAGCATTTCACAATGTTAACTTTTAGTTAGATTTTTGTTACTTAAGCCATTTACTATAGCGTTTTACTACAATTTGTATTTTTACCTGGCCCCTTTTAATTTTTGATTTTAGCTAATGTTTTACTACTTTTAGCCTTTACCTAGACTTTTGCTACTTTGGGCTTCTAGATACTGTGTTGCTACATTTATCTAGTCTTTTGCTACATCCAGCTCTGAGCTAATCTTTTACTGCTTTTAGCTAGTGATTTGCTACTTTTAGCTTGTCTTTTGTCACATTCAGCTTGTAGTTAAAGTTTTGTGCCACTAATTTAGTTTTTATTGAGATTTTTGTTACTCTTAGATGATCATCAGCCTTTACCTACTGTAGCTTTAGCTTCTGGCTAGCCTTTTGTTACTTTAGCTTTCAATTAGACTTTTGGCAACCCCTTAGCTACTTTAGCTTTAACATTTCAGTTTCATCTTCTTCGGCTAAGTCATTCAGTGCACTTATTCACACTGCAGTTGCTTTTAGCCTTTTTTGAGCCCGAGGGTTTTCTTCGCCCACGTGGCGGAGGTCAGACCTGCTCAGACTCTTTGCGGGTGGAGTTGTGCTCGTCGGGCAGGGCCAGCTGAGGGTAGAGGCCTCGACAGACCAGCAGCTTGAGCAAGGCCTGCTGACGTGAAGACAAGTCCTGACTGATGTTGACCGCCTCCTGGAGCGCAGACACGTTGTGACGCAGCTTAAACTTCACTTCCTGTTTCAGAACAAACAGAACCACAGAAAGAGTCAGAGGGTCCCAAACTTCACAAAAACAAATTCACCTCCGAGTCAAAAACTGATCCTGATACCACAGGATCTCCTCCTATAGAAACATAAACTATAGGATAATAAATTAAATAATAAATACATTATTGAATCAACAGCACAGTCTTTAACCAGTTTTTATAAACCTTTAGACGACATATCTGTGTTTACGTCCAACATTCTGAGTTCACCTGTATGTCCACATCCTGTCCCGGTCCCTCCTTGTCTTTCCTGCCTCGCCTTCTGTCCTCTGTGTCCGATCCAGAGGAGAACTCTCCGTCCTGGCCCTCTTCCAGCCTCAGGACTTTACGTTTGCTCCCCTCCTGCTGCTCGTGATCTCGTTTCATCTGATGCAGCTTTCTCCTCTCCGTCAGCCTCTCCCTGCGCTGCTCGCGGCCACCACCAGAGGGCGCGTGGTCCTCGGACTCCAGCAGGCCGTGGCTCCTCAGCAAGTCCTATAAACCAACAAGGGACTCATTTATGAGGAATTCAAGCTAAAAATAACATTTCAATGAAAGTGCTGCATCTAAGGAGGTCCCCACCTTAAACTGTCGGCGCAGGTTGACCATCTCATACAGACGCTGCTCCTCCAGGCCTCTCCTCCTGCACCACTTCCTGGAGCCGCCACCCCGCTCCCCTTTCACCTGTCGAGTTCAAACTCATCAGTGCTCAGTTGCTTCCATCAGAATCTAAATCCAGTTCGTGTGACATTTACCGACCTCTACCCAGGCATTGAAGGTGTTGAGCAGGGTAAAGGGGTCTCCCTGGTTGCTGTGCAGCGGCTGGCGAGCGGTGGCGCAGTCCGGGTTCTGCTGTGAGCTGCGCAGGAACGGCGACTGAACGCTCAGGGCGGCTGCCACAGTCAGCATGGGCTCCACCAAGTTAAACAAAGATCCCAACACCAGCATCTTCCCTGCGAGGATTCAGACACACCGAACTGAAACTAACGTCACGAAACACCAGGAAGGTGTTCACGATTACGTCCGGCTGTTTTTGGTAAAAGACATTGTGTTCTTTCAGCTTAGTGTCTGTTGGATATACGACTGCGAGTCCCTAAATATCTTCCAACAAAAGCAAAAACTCTTCAATTACTTCAACTTTTGTTTAGTTTTGATCATGAGCAAGTCTTTCTGATTCATGTTATCAGAATGATTTGCCATTTTACATTTTATTTCACCCGAGGATCGTCCTTAAACGTGTTGAAAAGCTTTAATTTTCACGTGTTTCTGTCAGATTGCACTGTGTGGCCTGAAGTCAGATTAATTATGGAGCTAACGGGCTAACAAACTAACCAGTCAACTTTTTGAAGTACTTTCATACAAAACTGGATTTGCAGGAAGTTCTTTACAAGAGCACAAACAAGATATCAGATGAACTCCAATAAGTTTGAGCGCACTTATTAAACTCCATACGCAGCTTTATAGAACTTAGTCTTTCATAATAATCAATATTTATATTATGAAATCATTTTAAACTGCTCCACCATTTTACATTTTTTGTTGGGACAAAATTTGAATCATGTGAATGTTTTTAAATAAGCAGTTGAAGTTTTGAATATCCCTTTGGGATGTTTGAAGAAAATACCTACGTACCTAAACACCCACCCATCAATCCACCCATCAACCATTAGTGCTCATGGTGTGTGTTGTGAATGACTCTCAGCTACTACCACACCAAATTCCTGCTCAGTATCTGTAAAACTGACCAAGTTGTTGCCACCTTTTAGTTTGTTGAAGTCAATCAGCTGTGGCGGCCATCTTGATTCAAGTTGACTCCTAAAGTTAGTCAGGTTTAGATGTACGTTGAGTGATAACTCTCTGGGCGTTTCATTAAGATCCGTTCAGTGGTCCGTGAGATATTTTGCTAACGGACAAACCAATACACAAGCAAACGATCGCCCACTTCTCATGGCGGCGGGTGAAAACAAGCAGCAGAGATCTGATCAGATTTTACCTATGACCACGTCAACAGGCAGCTGAGCCAGCAGACTCCCGATAGATGTCAGTTCGTTACGGCCGTCTAGCGCCCCCTGCTCCCTCAGATACGTAACCGCAGTCTGGATACTCGCAGTCGGAGGTGGATCGATGAAGACAAACGACAGAGGATCTCCAAGACTCATACTCTTCATCTGCAGAGACAAAACTTCATCGATGAACTGTGAATGTATTTATTTCAGTTATCATTTCTTCTGAGTTCATCAGAATGCTCCCACCTGGAGGATCAGCGAGTCCAGAGCCACCCTGTGGATCTCAGGGACAGGATATGGAGCAAAGGCGTTGTAGTCGGACTCCGAGTACAGACGGTAACAGACGCCTGGACCCGTGCGTCCGGCTCGGCCTTTCCTCTGCTCAGAACTGGCTCGGCTGATCCAGAACTCCTGCAGACGCTGCATCTTGGCCTTCGGATCAAAACTCATTTCCTTCACCTTTCCTACAAAACAAAACTTCACTCACACCAGCACCTTAACTGAGATCATCACATGGAGGAGTTTCAGAACTTCAGCTGCGTAAAAACAAGTTTTACTAAAGAAATACTGAATGACTGAGGCCACAAGACGCAGAACACTAGCTAAAGGCTAAAAGCTAAAAGCAGCAGAACGTTGCCTTTAGCAACAAAACACTAGACAGTAGTTCAAAGTTGCAGAACAGTAGCTCACAGTATCAAAAGGCTAGCTAAAAGCTAAAAGTAGCGAAAGCTTAACTAAATGCTAAAAGTAGCAGAAAGCTAGCTAAAAATGACAACACTAAAAGTTTTTCAAAGTGTCAGAACAGAAGCTACAAGCTAAAGGTAAGAAAAGGCTAGTCAAAAGCAGCAAAACACAAGCTTAAACCTGAACGTAGCATAAAAAGGCAAAAACAGAGCTGGTCCACTGAAGCAGATTCAAGGAGGAAAATCTTTTTAAAGGAATTCAAAACATCAATAATAATCAATGTAAAGTTAAAGTTTTTAAAAATCTAAATGTTACAAAACGAAAGGTGACAGCTGCCATCTCCTGAACGAGCTGAACGTTGAATGACTAAAACGGCACAAAGTGTTAGACTGAAAGAAACGTACTGAAAACCTAAACAGCGACAGAACCAGAACCAGAACCAGTTCCACACCTGAGTCAGCGACGAAGCGAACTCCATCTATTGTGACTGACGTCTCGGCAATGTTGGTGGAGATGATGCACTTTCTCACACCAGGCGGAGAGATGTCAAACACCTGTGGATCAACACAAGTTTACGTTTACACAAACGAATCCTTCCTGTAAAAATCAAACTCCAGCGGTTTGAGGCCGGCCGTGCCTTGTCCTGCTGAGCCAGGGACAGGGTGCTGTGCAGAGGTAAGACGATCCAGCGACGAGTGTGTGTGGCGTAAATCTGACAGGCCTCCTGGATGGTGGAGATCTCCGCCACGCCGCTGAGGAAGAGGAGCAGGTCTCCTCGCTCCTCCGGAGAGTAACGCTGATCGATGCCCTGCAGGATCCGGAGGTACGGCCTGGGGTCCAGTTTCTCTGAGCGGGAGGGCTGCTCCTCAGGGGGAATGGGCTGATAAATCACCTTAAGACAAAAAAAAAAAAAAAAAACAGAGAAAACTTGTAGATGTGGTTGTTTTCTAAATGAACAGAGAAGTCATTGTAACGTTATACTTTTCAAAATATTTACCTTTATTTACAAATAATTTTAAATTCCTGCAAAAATGTTCTCATGAAATCTGCTTCAGCATATTTATCTTCTTGCTTTAGCGTTTTTTAATCTTCTTATGCTACTTCTAATTTGTGGCTAATTTTCAGCTTTTTCTAATTTCATGTTTTAAATATCAATGCGATACTTTTAGCTACTGTTCTACTACATTTAGCATGATTGTTGCTAATTTTAGCTTTTAGCTAGCCTTTTGCTACATTTAGCTTATAGAAAACATTTGACATTTTTCTACTTATTGTTTTTGGTTAGCCTTTTGCTTTTATCTTTTAGTATTTTGCTACTTTTAGCTATTAGTTACTGTTTTATTTTTATTTTTTGCAATTAAATACCCTTTTGCTACTGCTAATTTTTAGCTATCATATAGCAATTTTTTGCTAACCTTTTGCTACTTTTTCTTTTGGCAAGAGTTTATCTGATTCTACCTTTTTGGTAGGACAAGTGTTTTGCTCCTTTCAGGCAACATTTAGCTACTTTTAGATTATCTACAGTTTCACAAATTTATATTCTAGCCAGTTTTTTTTGTTGCTTTATCATGTAGCTAGTCTCTTGCTACTTTGAGTTTTTAGCCAACTGTAACTGTTACATTTGGCGTTTAGCAGGTAGTCTGTTTCTTTTATTTGTAACACCTCAGTTTCAGCGTCTCCAGCAAACGTCAGCCGTCATTCAGCTCTCATGTTTTTACTGATTTTGTCACATAAATTGCATCAGGATTTCTTTAGATAACATCAGAACAGAAAACATTTAGACCAATCGTAAACTTGTTTGTCTTTGAACGTGTTAACCTGAAAGCTCAATGTTTACCTGGATGGGAAACAGCCTCCCTGGAACCTGCAGCACAGGAGCGTTGTCGAAGTACTCGGAGAAGAGTTTGATGTTGATGGTGGCCGACATGAGAATGAGCCGCAGGTCGGGGCGGTCCTTCAACAGAGAGCGAAGGACCCCGAGGAGAAAGTCGCAGTGGAGGTGTCTCTCATGGACCTCGTCCACGATCATCACCTGGTACTGAGACAGCGACTTCTCCTGTTGGATCTGTCGCAGCAGGAGACCCTCGGTCAGGAAGAGCAGCTTGGTGGACGTGGTCCGAGTGGTCTCAAAGCGGATCTGGTACCCAACCTGAAGAAAACAGAAGATACATGATCATAGCTTGTAAACACTTTTTTTTAGTCAGGCAATGAGCTTAGCAAAAAATAATGTGTACAAGTATAGAATTTACACATTATTTTACTCAAGGTCCATCATTTGAGCCATGTCATGTTGACACTGTCCTTCAGAGAACAACATCCTGATGAGGTCATCTCAAAAGTCTACACATGGAACATGAGGCAATAACATTTTGAAGACATGAACAAGTTTAGCTATTTTTTTCTGTTATCTCCACACCTGTAAGCTCCTTAAGCCAACTATATAACCCAGTACCTTTTCTTACAGTTCAGCTAGAATAAAAATTAAAGAATACAAACTAAAGGTGGTCCATCTAAATATCGGTGTTGTTTTGTGCCAGTATTTCATGGATTGGACGTGTTTTGGTTGAATTTCCTTCAAGATCAGTTGCTGATTTTGATGTGTCACTTTAAAGTTGTATAAATGTTCAGATTATGATTTGTAAGATTAAACTCTTCTATTTGTTCTTCTAAGACTTACTTTTGATCCATACTGGTTGAGGCTCTCAAAGCTGACCCTCTTTGCCAGAGAGATGCAGGCAATACGCCGCGGCTGAGTGCAGGCGATGTGGCTGAAGCCAGCTGAGAGGAGGTACTGAGGCACTTGGGTGGATTTCCCACAGCCTGTGTCTCCTGCCACCACGACCACAGAGTGAAGTCGAACCAGCTCCACGATCCGGTCCCGGTACTGGAAGATGGGAAGGTTCTTCTGCTCTCGGCGAAGCTTGGCCAGCTTTCCAAAGCTCTGCTTCTGGCTGAAGTCCAAGAAGTGCAGCAGGGTCAGGCGACAGTCTGAGATCTCCTGCGACCCCGGTCCTGAAGATCTCTGCCGGTTTCTGTGGTCCGACTTCCCCAGCCTCTCCTCGATGTCCCTGCTACACACAGACACATTAATCCTGTATCGAGCGTCGTACTCTTTAGGAAGACCAAGATCTTCAGCTTTGCTTCTGTCTGTCCCCTCCTCTATGGAGTCCTTTCCAGAACCAGACATGTCTCTTTTTGTTCTGAACCTCTGGAAACGGTCAAAGAAAGCCCAGAACTCTTTGTGTTCGGGACTGCCAGCCTGGATGTAGTCATTCTCACGGAAAAAGATCCCATCCAGCTGGGCTCGACACTGCGGGCTGTCCCAGTCCCAACTCCGGCTGTCCCTCCTCCTGTCTGAGTCCATAGTTACTGGGAGTCTCCTTCAACACAAACAATGGACTTCAAGTCGGTGCTGATATTCTACGGACATGCAGCTGTTTGATAAACCTGCTGAGGTACAGAGGAAAACAGACCAGATGACGAGGAGCTCAGATCCATAAATAAAACACTAATATTTCCTGTTTATGTATCAGAACAGAACCGAACACAGGTCCGGAACAACACGTTAAACTGCTGCGTGCTAGTTCCTGGATAATTATAAGTAAAGACTTTGAACAAAAATTAAACAACTGAATTAAAACATGTCGGCCATAAAACCGCAATTACACCAGCAGGGGAACAATAATACAGGAGGACCATTTCCGTTCCGTTTCTTAAAACCGTCCGGAAAGATTGTAATAATCATTTCCGGTCGCAGTGTTGTTAGTTTATTTCTGAGTTTTGAGACTAAAATAAAGTCAAAAACAAAATCTAATTTACCGGTAATCTAAAACCAAATATAAACGAATGACGTCTAACATATGCGGTTTGTATATTTTTATAATATGAACAGTTTAAAATAGAAGTTCATGTAATGGTTGTTGCCTCCTCAAACTTATCAAAAGTGGTACATTCCAACTTATTTCACTTGAACAGATCAACTTAAGCAATCAAATAAAAACTACACCCACTGGGATAAAATAAATAAAATTATGGTTTTATTAACTAGTTTCGTTGTACTGTGGTATCTTTGAATAAGTCTGAGATGCAAAACTGTTTTTTATTCACCTCTAACATCATCTGCTGGATAAAAAATATACAGGCATTTTTCCAATAAAACTGAAGTCAGTTTAATATCAAATTTAACTTTTGCATGAGATTGAGCATTTGCCAAAATATGAAAAAAAAAAAAAAAGCTTTATTAAACACTAAAATTTACAGAAATCAAAACATCCAAACATAAAAAAAAAAAAAAAAACCACTGAAAGCACAGGATTTGATAAAACAATCTTCTTACGACTGTTCTCTTCTTCAGGGGTCGCCACAGAAACCAAGTCGCACCAAGACTTGGTTTAGTTTTTATCCCTTCCTGACACAACCACAGACCACGAGCTACCACAGCCCTCTGTGTGGAGCAGAGCTTCCATCTAGGGGAGCAGATGGGGTGAGGAGAAGGGCTGGTGCAAACGGGGGTGGAGGCAGGTGTGGGTGCTTCACCTTTCCCACTCACATTTTGATGTCGGCTGGGAATTCAAACCGGCGACCTTCCTTAACCTCTGTGCCACCGCTCCCCCACAATGAGATAAAACAACATGGTGTCATATTTAAGTTGATACAAATGTCACAAGTTTTTTTTTTGTTGTAAAACAAACTGTTTTCTTGTGCTTTCTCAAATTTGTCTATATTTTGCAACCATGTTTTAGACATAAAAGCAGGAAAATGGTGTCAAATATCTGCGTCAGGCTCGCAACATGCACAACTTTTACCAGTTTTTCTCTGCAACATACTGAAGTGAGGCCTAAATTCAATTTAATAATACAAATAAAAGAAAAACGGTTTGCACTGAAGGTTATTACAGTATTTTATAAGGAGACTTTTGTTATTAAATAAACTTTTATTGATAAAATTAAGCTGCAGGATTGTTGGTAGCATTTTGTTTCAAGCTCATGAAAAGCAAATAAATATGGAAATAAAAATGCATCCATGATGTTGACGTGAATTATCAAAGAATTTCTTCTACAATGCAGATCCACAGGAGGCGAGAGGACGCACGCTTGACGTTTTGATTTTAATTTACACGACTCGTAGGAAAGAGACAAAAACAGGAGGAAAAAGATAAAACGCAGCTCAGCATCTGTGTAACAATCAAACAGAAAAACCCCCTCTGTATCATAACATTTGTTCTCCATCAAAAGAACGCTTTAAAAAAAAACGCATAAAATAAAACTTTTATTTACATTTTAAAAACATTTAAAATCAACCCATCCTCCTAAAACCAATCACAGCGAGTCTAATATGTGCAGCGGTTGCTGTTGGAGCGACGAGTGCATCCTCCGCTGTAGATCCAGCGAGTTAAAGTCCATGAATCCGCCGGACGCTCAGTCGGAGCCAAGTCCGAAAGAAGCAAAAATTCATTTCAAAACCAGTTCATCTCCTTTGGTGCTGTGAGACCGGAGTTAGACCCCCGTCTTCTCTTTGATCCAGCCACGAAACCGTGTGACGGTTGTGTAAATGCCCGGCTTGTTTCTGCGGGCGCAGCCGTCGCCCCAGCTCACCACTCCTGCCAAGAACATGCGCTTGCCTTCTGGACTGGACAGAGGACCGCCAGAGTCGCCCTGAAGACCAAATGAGCCAAAAGAACAGGCGGCGTTAACGCGATGCATTCATTTGTTCATGATTTTGTCAAATCTTCCCAGTGGGAGTGGACAGATGGGAAGAGACAGAAACAGAGAGGAGCAGCGTTAATCACCTGACAGGCGTCCACTCCTCCGGAAAGAACTCCAGCACACATCATCCGGGATGTGAGCTGCCCTTCCATTAAACCGTCACAGGTCGTGTGGTTTATGAGTCGGACCTGGGCCTTCTGCAGGACTTTAGCAGCGACTCCTGAATTCAACGTTAAAAAAAAAAGATCTTGAGAAACACGACAGGACCTGTCACGAATATCAAAGCATCACTTATAACCAAAAATAAATGTTTAATTACAAAACATCTTTTTAATAAAATATGTCAAACGTCTTGCACTCAAAGTATCATTTGATGCATTAGTGAGGAATTCGAGCTTTGACATTCCTAATAAAATATGAAATAAGAAGAAATAAAACTACCTGAAACTAAAAACAATAATTAGCGACCACAAATCTTTTTGTAAATCCGACATATTTTAAATCTTAGAATCTAAACCTTTCAAACCGTCAAAGCACTGATCGGATCTAAACTTCTGTGGTTGTGCTAATATTGTTGCCCAGATTTGATTAAACAGCTTCAGCTCCATTACGTCTCAAAATAAGACGATCTTAGTTTGGAGCTCTGGCACCAAAGGCGACGGGTGATGAGCATTCCTTCAAACAACGCCAGGTCTTTAATCATATCTTTTTCTTTCTGAGTGTTTTGTACTGACCTCCTTCTCGTGTGGCGCCCCATCCTGTGATCCAAACGGTATCCCCAACTTTAAAGTCGTGCTGGGGGGCCGGTAAGCAGATGGGCTTGATGTGGTCGGAGAAGGTGACGGGACTGTCCAGCTCCATCAGGCAGATGTCGTAATCGTAGGTGTGCGCGTTGTAATACGCGTGGGGGACGACCTGTTTCAGGAGCTTCTTCACAACGGGACTCCCAATCTTCCCCTGGATGTGAAGGCCCAGGTAGACCTCCCAGGTGCCGGCTTGAGACAATCTGAGGACAAACAAGAAAAGATCAGTCGTCCCTTGTTACTTCGTGGTTCGACTTTCACGGTTTTTCAATGATAGTCAACTTTAATATTACTCATGTGATTGGAACGGTATGGATAAAACAAAAAGTAAAAAAAAACTTGTGACAGGGGCCGCCATTTTGTAGTTTTCTTTCAATAAGCCTATATTGTAAGGCCAGTCAAAAGAACTACATTACCCAGAAGCCAACAGTGCTTCCAGCTGCTGCTTTCTGCCGAAATGGAGGGCAAGTTTTGATCCGATCCGAACCTGACTAAAAAGTTTGTTCTTTAGTCATAGTGACTTCGGCGCTCAGTGGATGCAGAGAGCCGATCAGAACCGGACCAGAACTACTTCCAGCCTCATCGATCACTGAGAGCTGTGCGCCGGCCCAGGAAGCCTCTCGAGCGGGGAGGCGTTGCTTGGAGGTCCGGTGTCTTCTCCAGAGCTCACTTGGACTTTTTTCATCCGGATCCCTCCGGATTATTTGGACTTGATCAGGATCATTGTGAGGTTTTGTGCTGGCTCTCCGAAGGTCCGGCTCTCTCCAAAAGCATCTGGTGCTCAACGGCTGCAGAGAGCCGATCAGAACCGGACCAGAACCGAACCACGGCTGGTGAGTTCCTCATATAAAATTCTGCAGTAGCTGCTGTGCAGTATGTATGTTGTTAAAATGATGCAGGTTTAAGAATTTAGAACACTGCAAGAGTGTGGGAAGAGTTTATAAAGCCTTAAAATATATAAATACTTAAACAAATATAGTGTTCCTACTTTGTGGTTTTTCCACTTAATGCTGGGGTGTCCGGAACATAACCCCTGCAATAATCGAGGGACTACTGTACCAGTTAATCCCTGGTCATGCATGACAGACAAATTATGTGGCAGAAAGGAAAAAAAAAAAAACGAGCTGGAGACCCTAAATCCAGTATTATTTTTAGAATAAACAGACTCTTACTTCAGGCTTCCTTCGTCCTGCACGCAGTGGGCAGCAGTGACGAGCCACGTCGGGCTGATGAGGGACGCTCCGCACACGTGTCCCCCGTTCTTGATGTGGAGGCTGACCTGCCACGGAAACTCCCCGTCCTCGGCGTCCTGTCCGCCCACGATACGCGAAGACTTGAACGTTCTCTGCCCGCAGTCTGCAAAGAGAGCAGCCGATGAGCGGCGGACCAGTCGCAGCTTGTTGTGCAACAGGTGGGAGACAAAAACCAGTTCGACCGAAAAGGCGCTCGACAGTGAAGGCAGCAGAAATGTTTTGAAGTCAGCCGTGCTTTGAAAGTCATACCGCAGTTTTCCTCGTCAGATCCGTCGTCGCAGTCGGGCTGATCGTCGCACTCCGGGTTCTTTTTGCTGATGCATTTGTTGTTTTTGCATTTGTACGTGAGGTCGGTGCAGGCCACTGAAGACTCTGAGACAAGAAGAAAAAAACCTTTAAATTGATTGAAAACATCCTGCATGACTTTCTTCAGAGGGGTCGAAAAACTCTAGAGATTATGAAATAAAACAACTTTTTTTTTTTTTTTTTTTACACAAGGACGTCTGAATCGAGTCTCTTAGCTCTCCAGTACACGGACATAGAAACGCACTGATCATGCCGCCATTTTTCTAAGTGCTATGTAGCGTTCCTTACTGCCAGCACGGCAGCAAACTGGATTTCTGAGGAGTAAAAACTAAACAAGCATTCCGACATTTCACTTAACCTGAACTTCAAAGGATGTTGTATTATGTTTTCTCGTTTACTTTTTGAAATAATCTGATACGATGTTTTGTTACACCAAAGATTGTTGGTTTAAGCCGATATAATTACAGTAAAGCAGTCAGGGCGTATAAGCTTACTGAAACCATCCATATTAGAATCATACTTTCCAAATAAAAGAAAGATGCTGATAAACAAGAAGAAAGACTACATCATGGATGAAACATCAGAAGATGTAGCTGACATTCTGGACGACGACACCGGCCTCGAGTACAGACTTCCAAAACTCCAAAAATGCACAGATGCCACTCCTGCAGAAGTTTGGGGTGAACAGAAGACTCTCAATCTGCTTTTGCAAAAAGTACTGCTCTGTGGAATAAAACCAGCCAGTTGAGCAAGAGGTTTGAGACAGCTGTACGCAAACTGCAGTTCCTCCGACCCGATCAAACCCGGTGGAACACTGTGGTCCTCACTGTGGAACAAGTGGTGCACATTCACAGGAACAATGTATGCACAGCACTGAAGATCCAGATATAAGTAAATAATGCATAAAATGGTTAATCAAAACTATGTGCTGGTTTCTAACAAGACTTTTATAGTGTGTATGTTATAAAACAGTGGTTCCCAACACTGATCCTTGAGGAACACCATCCTGCATGTTTTAGTTGTTTCCCTGCTCCGACAGACCTGATTCTGTGATTTAGTTACTTCCTCATGTTCTGCAGAAGCCTGTAATCACCAATTTATTAAAATCTGGTGTGTCGGAGCAGAGAAACAACAAAAACATGAAGGATGGTGTTCCTCAAGGACCACAGTTAGGAAACCTGCACTTTGCACATTGTATGCATCAACAATAGAATACAATCCAGTTTTTGTTTAAAGGCTGAATCCACTTGAGATGGGACCTTTGGCTGAATATGTTGCTGTGATGAAGCCTGTAGCCATGACGACCCTCAACATTCTTCAACAGGAATCATCTGTGCATTTGGGTTTCCTCCTGCCAACACTCCACCAGCTGCAAGACGAGCTGAAAAAGCTGAAATCACCCATCAAAGTGTGCGTCCCTCTCAACGATGCTCTGCAGGATGGGATTCAGAAACGTTTTTCTGAGATGACCAAGAACCTGAGCTCACTGCTGCAGCTGCGCTCCTAAATGCAAAACAAACTGGACTACAGGGGGAGAACGTCTCCAAAGCTGCTAAATATAAAAACATCATCATGTGTGGGTTCACAAGAGAGTACCGGTACATACGCAGACGTGTGTGCAGATGTAATTCTTGAAAAAAAAAGTTTTGTAGGACTCGACTGCATCAGGGATCACATGGATGCTGACACTGACAATGATAACAGCACAAACGGCAACCACTCGGATGAAGAGGATTTCTTTGGCTCCATCAAGTCCAGAAAATCCCAAACAGAAGAGTTGGAGAGGTACAGGTCTGTTACGCTCTTGTCCTCAAATCAAGTGGTTTTTAGTCAAAGTCAACACAAGTCTTCCACAGTCTGCAGCTTGTGAGACTCTTCAGTCATGCGGGACTCCTCCGTGCCGCTGAAAGATCACAGCTTCAACAAAACTCACCCTGAGAGTCTGAATGTGTTTCTGTGGAAGCAGCAGTGGAGATGGTCTCCTCCATCCGGTTCCTCAGGAAGCATCTAACCAACATCCTCACCTGCAGCACCAACACTATGGCCGTCATCAAGGCCCACCAGCACCTGTACATCTTGAGGAAGCTGCAGAGGGCAGGTGTGAATGGTCCTCAGGTCCCTCTACGCCTGTGTTGTGGAGAGCGTCCCGACCTCCACCTTCACAGTGTGGTACAGAAGCTGCCCTGTGGCAGAGGAGGCGTTGCGTTGGTCTGCTCTGAGGACCATCGGGTGCAGCCCCAGGGACATTTGTAACACCAGGAGCACCAGGTGCAGGACAGAGCCACCTGCGTCCTCCGTGACTCCGCCCATCCTGCACACCTCCCTGCCCTCGAGGAGGAGGCTGCACTGCATCCGGGCAAAAACCTCCAGACTGAAGAACAACTTCTACCAGGATGCCTACGGTCTACTTTTACCTGAGCAACATTTGGTGAAAGTAAATTTGAAAAAAAAAAAAAAAAAAAACTTTTAATTGAGTAAAACGTTTCATTACTCACCCATGGCTGCTGGACAGTCGAGCTCATCCGACCCGTCTCCACAGTCGTTTCTGCCGTCGCATCGTTTTTTTTCAGACACACATTTACTGTTTGTGCAAGTAAACTCTTCGGATTTACAGCCACCTTAAAGAAAATCAAACAAACAAACAAGTAAACTCTCTGGATTTACAGCCACCTTAAAGAAAAACAAACAAACAAACAAACAAGTAAACTCTTCGGATTTACAGCCACCTTAAAGAAAAACAAACAAACAAGTAAACTCTCTGGATTTACAGCCACCTTAAAGAAAAACAAACAAATTAGTATCTTCTGCTAAAAGGCAGCGTGAATGCTGAGTGGCTAAACAAAAACTTGTTCAAGAAGCTAAAACTGAGCTGTCGACGTTAAAACAAGCTAAATGAAAGCTAAAATGATTCAGATATAAGCTAAAACAAGCAGAACAGTAGCTAAAAGCTAAAATAAGCAAAGCAAAAGGAAAAAGAATGAACCAGCAGGCAGCTAAAATGAACAAAACTGTAACTAAAGGCTAAACTCAGCTAAATTGTAGCCAGAAAACTAGAAGTACAGTAGCTAAAAGCAATATCAGGTAAACAGCATCAAAAGAGCTAAAACAAGTAAATCGGTATAAAATAAACTAAAATAAGCAGAATAGCAGCAAAAAGCTAAAATAAGCAAAATAGTAGTTAAGGACAACACTAACAAAAACATAGGTTAGGCAAAATCAGCAAAAAACAGTTGCTAAAAGCTAAAAACATGTAAATCAGCAGCTGAAAGCTTAAACAAGCAGAACAGCATCAAAACGCTAACATTTTGAAAAACAATAGCAAAAAGCCAAAATAAGCTAAACAGTGGCAAAGGCTAACACTAAGGAAAACTTAGCTAATGGCTAAAATCAGCAAAATAGTTACTAAAAACTAAAATCACCAAACAGTAGCTAAAGCTAATGTTAACAAAATGTAGCCAATAGTTAAACCAGCAAAACATTTGCCAAAAGTTAAAAATGTAAATACATAGCTAAAACTACACCTAAAACGGTTGCTTAAAGCCAAAATCAGCAAGAGTGGCTAAAGCTAATGCTAACAAAATGTAGCTAATAGTTAAACAAGCAAAATAGTTGCCAAAATTTTAGAAATGTATAAATACATATCTAAAAGCTACACCTTAAACCGTTTATAAATGCTAAAATTAGCAAAACAGTAGCTAAAAGCTAAAAGTATAGTATTGTAAATAGTATTGATTTCAAGATTTGCCGTTTTAAAAGAGTTGAAGAAATCTCCACGTATTTCAATACGGGAATCTTTTGTCAATAAGTACTTTGAAAGGATAGAAGTTACATAAATACACCGTTTGTACACGTGAATATTTAAAACGGGTAGAGTAGGCGGAGGTAGCAAGAAGCGGACAGGAAGTGAACGCTGCCTCGGGCCAGCAGGTCTCACCACAGTTCAGCTCATCGGTTCCGTCCCCACAGTCATCGATGCCGTCACATTTCCAGAACTCCGGCTTGCACATTCCGTTGTTGCAGCTGATACTTTTTGAGTTACACTCTGAAGAAGAACACAGTTAGAAAAACTCGTTTCCACGACGTTGTGCCAACAGCGACGAGGAGTAAACGGTACGCACTGCAGTTCAGCTCGTCGCTCGAGTCTCCACAGTCGTTCCAGCCGTCACATGTGAGGCTGGACTTGATGCATTGCTTATTTTTGCACTCAAACTCGTCTGGACAAGCTGCGGACGAAACAGATGCCGTGAAAACCCTTCCCCGAAGGCAGAGACAACCTGAACGGAGCTCGGACACCTACGGTCGGTGCTGTCGACGGCCTCAAACTTTGCGTCAAAACCTCGGTCGACGTAGGAGAAATCGGAATGAAACGTCACCGTCATTTTGCTGGTTTTGCTGGTTCTGGTCAGCATCCCATCATCGTAATCTCCACACAGTCTGAAAATAAAGACGTACGAGCTCTAACACACCTGTTTCCTAAAACCCGACGCTGTGGTAGTAGCTGAGAGTCACTCACAACTCGTACTTTTATAACCGCAAACCTCAACTCACTTCTCATTGTTGATCATGACGTAGTCTTTGGGACAATTCTTGTCGTTTTCCAGCCCGGGCTCGGTCAAAAGGAACTTTTTGAAGGTCACCTTCACCACTTTTCCATTAGGGACCTTAAAAAAAAGAAAGGAAGTGAAGGAGCTGACGTCCGACAGCCTGAACATATGACACAGGTGTGAACCCAACAAACAGCCGGGGGTCTCACCTGGATCTCCCAGGCACATTTGGTGTCAGGAGGATAGAAGTTTGGGAAGTTTGGACTGGAGAAGCTGCCTTCTGACCCGGAGAGCTGCTTGTCACACACCCCTGTAAACGAAACAACACAAATTACAACGATTCTGAATTACAGAAACAACATTTACTGTTACAACGCAGCGTGGACGCCAAGTGCCAAACGACTGAGCTGAAACAGACGTGGTAAAAGAAGCAGAACATCAGCTCCAAGATACTGCAGGAAAACACGAGCTAAAAGCTAAACGCAGCAAACGATCGTTTAAAAAAAAAAATCAAAAAGTAGCAAAACTAACTGGAAGAAGCAAAAATTAACTGAAAGCTAAAAATGCTAGGTAAAAGTGCCAAAATGGAAGCTGAACCTAGCAAATTAGTAGCTAAAATGACCAGAAAGGCTAGCTGAAAGCAGGAAAAGGCTCGTTAAAAGCTAAAGGTATTAACACAAATCAAATCTACACATAATAAAAGTGGAAAAATAATAGCTAGAAGCTAAAAGTAGTAAAATATTAGCTAAATATTTTGAAAAGTTTAACAGCCAAAGTGTTGAAGAAGCCTTAACTTCTGACTAAAACTAACAATTGAAAATAAAACATTTGGCAAAAAATTATCATCGCGACTCCTGAATTTATTAGTTTTTAATTAAATAAGCAAAATTAAAAAACTGAAATGACGTCCTCGAGGAAGAGCGATGTCATCATTCTTGTCAAATGTTGTACGACCCTAAAAAAAGCACAAAGTGCAGCATCAACCGTCACTAAAACCCAAGTCCTTACTGGTTTTAAGAGTTTGGGAGACTTTGGCCCGGAAGCCCGGGAAGTTCTTTTCTTCGTTTGTGGCCATCGTCACCAGCATGACGTTTCCCGAGGACAGAAAGGTCAGAGGCTCACTGGGCGAGTAGTGTCCACACAACCTGCGCAAAACAAGACACACGTTTTAACAACTAATTCATCGGGATTACAACAGATTACAAGCAGCCGTCGGTGTGAATTAGTTCATTCAAGTTCAGGATCAGAGGTTTAAAATCCAGCGTTTCCTCTACCGTTATCCAAGGAGGGCGCCCCGCCCTGTCGACAACGAGATGTCCTTCACCCACAGCTGGTTTGGACAAATCATCTCTGCATTTATACGAACCATCCAGAAAGCAGCAGCTTCGTCTTTTACCAGGTACTAAAACCATAAACACAGAACCCGGGTCCTTCTCTCCACCGGCTTCTGTCAACTTCCAGACTGATTTTAAAGTTTTAAAAGTTCTGGCCTCGATCCTTAACATCTACACTCCAGCAGGAGCGCTGCGTTCTACAGACCAGATGTTCCAGGATCCAAACTTAAATACAGACCAGCATCTCCTCTACCATTATACAAGCAGGGCGCCCCGCCCTGTCAACAGAACCGAGCACCCTGCCTGACAAAGTTCTTGTTCTGGAGTCGGGTCGCGGGGGCAGCAGCTTGAGCAGGGAGGTCCAGACATCTCTTTCCACAGTCACTTCTTCCAGCTCTTCTGGGAGGACTCCAAGGCGTTCCCAGGCCAACCAAGAGAGGTAGTCTCTCCAGCGTGTCCTGGGACTTCCTCAGGGTCTCCTCCCAGTCAGACATACCCGAGGCACCTCCTTAGGGCTGTGCCCAGGAAGCATCCTTACCAGATGTCTGAACGACCTCAACTGGCTCCTCTCCATGTAGAGGAGCAGCGGTTCTACTCCGAGTCTCTCTCGGATAGCTGAACTTCTCATCCTATCTTTAAAGGAGTCCAGCTACCCTGAAGAGGAAACTCATTTCAACCGACTGTATCCACAGTCTCATTCTTTCAGTCACTACCCAGAGCTCATGACCATAGGCGAGGGTAGGAACGTAGACCGACCAGTGAACAGAGATCTTTGCCTTACAGCTCAGCTCCCTCTTCACCACAACAAACCGGCACAGAGTCCACAATACTGCAGACGCTGCACCAGTCTGTCAATCTCACTCGTGAACAAAACCCTGAGATACTTGAACTCCTCCACTTGAGGCTGAACCTCACCCTCAACCTGAAGACAGCAACCCACCCTTTTCCCGCCTAACGGCCTCAGATTTGGAGGTGCCGATTCTCATCCCAGCCGCTTCACACTCGGCTGCGAACCGCTCCAGTGAGAGCTGAAGATCACGACACGAGGACCACATCATATGCAAAGAGCAAAGATGGAATCCTGGGGCCACCGAACCGGACTCCCTCCACGTCCTGGCTGAACCGAGATTTAACCTTAAACATGCAGAGTGTGTCGTTCTTATCAGAGCTTTAAAAACAACAACAACAACAAAACGTACTCTTCCATCACGCGGCCCTCAATAGCCACCAGGGAGTCATAGATCTTCACAAAGTCGTTCTTGCAGTTCTCCTCCAGAATGATGGAATCAAACTTCAGCTGGATAACTTGGCCCGCGTCGCCTCGCAGCTGCCACTGGATGACGGTGTTGGAGGGATACGGTGTGTTGGGGAAACCAGGGGACTCGATCTGATCCACCTTGTTGGGTCTCAAGTGTTTCGAAAACCTCAAATCCCCTGAGAGACAACAACAATTAGTACGACTCACATTTTATTTGGCATATCACCGTCACACAAACTCAACAGCTATGTCACAGGCTTTCTAAACAAATACACACATCCAGCTGATGAATGAATCAACTAAAAGGCTGCTTAGTTAAAAAAAAAGTTAATATTTAGGAAGATTTTCTCTGAAAATGCAGTGTAAACACCCAATAACATAAAATTGGCAGGAGAAACTGAGTTGTTTAAGATAAGAGAAGCAAAAAACAAGCTAAAACAAACAAAATGCTGACTAATAGCCAAAAATAGTAATATGCTAGCTAAAAGCAAACAAAAATACTACCCAAAAGTAGCTACCAGTAACAAAAAGCAAAAAGATAAAAGGCTAGCTAAACAATAAAACAGTAAAATGCTAGTTGAAAATGTCAAAATGTTAACTAGCAGTAGCAAAAGGCTAGCAGAAAGCTAAAATAGCAGAAGACTAGCTTAAAAAAGCAAAAGCCTCCATTAGTAAAAGGCTTGCGAGAAGCTAAAAGTAGCTGTTAAAAGCAGGGAAAGCCTGGATAAAAGCCAAAAGTAATAAAAAAAGTCTGTCTGAATACTAAAAGTAGTAACATTCAGTAACAAGCTAGCAAAAGTTGCAAAAAGCTTCCCAAAAGCTAAACATAGATTGGTAGTTAAAATCTAAAAATGTAGCAAAAGGTTAGATGAAAGCTAAACATAGAACAATGGCTAAAAGCTAGATGTAGCATAAGAAGAAAATCTGAAGCATTTTTAAAAAAGAAATAGTTTTTAAAAGAACCGAAGAGGCTCCAATCTGTATGTGTAATTTCCATGGATCTTTTATTTAATATAAAAGTTATAAAAGCGCCCATCTTCTGAATGAGTCCAACGTTTTGAGACGAGAATGACCAAAACAGCACAAAGTGTGAAAAATGACACGGCAAAAAATGTACAAAACGTAAAGAAAGTGGAAAACGAGCGCGAGTGTTGAAGCAGCGTTCACACAATCGTCTCAGCTCTGTTGTCTCGTAGAGCTGATGAACCTACAGCAAGAAGATGATTAGAGGAAGGATAAGAAAGCTGCACTTACTCCTAAAGGATGTCGTCAACATGCGGGAATCAACAACTGAAAAAATAAAAGACAGATTTAGGATAAAAGACCAACAGGAAAGCATAAATCACCTTTACAGGAAGTGCCAACCAGATGGTTGTCTACTCTACCTGAGGTCACTATCTCTTCAACTTCAATGGTGCCAGTTCCAGACAATCGCACTTTGCCTGCAGACTTCTCCAAGTTCCCCATAGCTTTGTCAAGAGACGTCTCTTGACCCGCAGGAGCTCGAAACTCTGACAGGTAGTAGGCGATAACGCTGCCCTCACTGGGAACCACCAGGAACAAAACATCGTGTTTAGAGGTACAAATAAAAACGTGCACTACCAACACCTGTCCTCTTTCTGGGCTCCTCATACCTGAAAGCCTGAACCACGGAACCGAAATAGTATTTCTTTAGCTGCGGATCTTTGGAGTAGATGGACTTCAGCTGAAAAGATTCAGAGCAAAATCAGGACAGAACTTGACTGATGGGTGTTTGACTTAAACTAATAAAAATCCCAAACAGGAAACTCTGGGTCTTACCTGTGTGACCACCTGCTGCGCCAGCGCCTTGAACTCAGAGGAGTTGGAGTCCTCATAAGCGTTGTCGAACGTCTGGTCGGTGATCTTCATGGAGCCGGTGTACATCCGTTTCACAATCTCGTTTTTACGGACTGTGAGAACGAAGAAACGAGACTGAATATACCAAACGTTCAAGCTCAATAATCCAGGTACAAATCCAACAATGTTCAGTCAGGTCATCTGGACGGCTTCTTTTTGCTGAGACGTTTCATCCTTCATCCAAAGGACTTCTTCAGTCCAAAGAGCCACAAACAAACTAGAGTCCCACAAGCACCAACTCCCATAGTAGTAGGGAGTAAATGTGTCCCTATGGGAGTTGCTGCTTGTAGGACTCCAGTTTGTTTGTGGCTCCTCGGACTGAAGAAGTCCTTTGGATGAAGGACAAAATATCTCAGAACAAAAAAAAAAAAAACAGTCCAGATGACCTGACTGAACATTGTTGGAGACTGAGTAACACACATGAAAGAATTCAAAACAAACAAGTCTTCTCACATCTCTGGGCCAACACGAATAAAAACCCAAGACAACTGAGAAACAACACTCGAGTTAAAATCCATAAGTAGCAGAAGGTGAGCTAAAAGTAGTAAAAGATGAGCTAGAAGATGTAAAACTGTTACTAAAAGTAATAAAAAGCTAATCAAAAGCTAAAAGTAATTAAAGGTTAACCAAAAATATCATAAGGCTGGCTAGAATCTAAAAAGAGCTAAATGCTAACTAAAAGCTAAAAGTAGAAAAATGCTAGATAAAAGCCAAAAGACACAGAACACTAGCCAAAAGCTAAATGAAGCAAAACACTAGTTAATGAGTCACAAGCTAAAAATAGTAAAAGGCTATATGAAACCTACACATAGCAAAATAGCACAAAATTGAAGACAGATGCTAAAGTAACAAAAAGGTGAGGTAAAGCTTAAGTGGCAAAACATCAAGTAAAAATAGAAGAGGTTAGCTAAAAGTAGCAAAAAGCAGAAAGCAAAAAGTATCAAAATCTAGCTAAAAGCAACAAAATGCTAGATAAAAGCTAAAAGAGGATCAACAGGATCAACAGAGGATGCAATCTCCTCTGTGGTCCACACTGCACTCAACCACCTGGAGCAGAAAAACTCTTACGTCCGTATGCTCTTTGTGGACTTCACTTCCGCCTTCAACACCATGATCCCCCAAACCCTGATGGATAAACTATCCACACTAGGACTAAGCCCCTCCATCTGCAACTGGGTACTAGACTTTTTAACAACCAGACCACAGTTAGTGAGGATCCACAACCTCTCCTCCTCCACCATAACCCTCAGCACTGGCTCTCCTCAGGGATGTGTGTTGAGCCCCCTCCTGTTTACTCTGCTCACATATGATTGTGCAGCTACCCATCCAGGCTGTCACATTGTAAAGTTTGCAGATGATACAGCGGTGGTGGGATGCATCACAAACAATGATGAGTCCAGCTACAGGCAGGAGGTGGAACACCTGGAGAGCTGGTGCAGAGAGAATAACCTTCACATCAATGTGAAGAAGACAAAGGAGATGATTGTGGACTTCAGAAGGAACAAAAACACCTACACCCCCCTGAACATAAGAGGATCTGCGGTGGAAGTGGTCTCCAGCTACAAGTACTTGGGTGTACACATGAATGACAACCTCAGCTGGAGCAACAACACCACCAGCCTGATCAAGAAAGCTCATCAGAGACTCTACTTCCTCAGACGGCTGAGGCGAGCTGGTCTGGGAAGCTCAGTCCTCACCTCCTTCTACAGGTGTGCAGTGGAGAGCATCCTGTGCTCGAGCATCAATGTGTGGCATGGAGGCTGCACAGCTGCAGAAAGAAAAGCTTTGCAGAGAGTGGTGAAGGCTGCACAGAAGTCTGTTGGAATCAGTCTCCCCACCATCACAGACATCTACACCTCCAGATGCAGGAAGAGGGCCACCTGCATCATGAAGGACCCCACCCACCCAGCACACACACTTTTTGCCCCACTCCCCTCAGGAAGGAGGTTAAGGAGCATTAAGTGTAGAACCACTAGACTGAGGAACAGCTTCTACCCTGAGGCTGTTAGACTCATGAATCTCTAACTAGAATAATCACTGTGAAAAACCATATCATGTTGCTGCTGATCTGTTTCATGTTGCTGCTGATCTGTTTCAATGTTGATGTGTTCATGCGTGCACATCTGCTCACAGACTCATGTTCATGTTTGTGGTGATGTTCAATGTTCAATGTTTTATGTTATGAGTGCTTAGTGTATATTTAGTTGATGCATTTCTTAGTTCATATCTTAGATGTTATTACTGTTTTTCTTATACATTTTATTGTTGGATGTAACTGGGACCCTGTGTACATAATTTCGCTCCACCACATGTACCACATGAGGTGCGAATGACAATAAAGAAACTCTGACTCTCTGACTCTGAAAAGAAGCCAAAAGCCAAATAAAATGACTAGAACACTAGCTAAAAGCTAAATAAAGCCAAACACTTGATAACAGATAAGTGTCACAAAACAGTAGCCAAAATTAGCAAAAATCTAAAAGTCTACAAGCAGCAAAATGGTAACTGCTAAAAGTAGAAAAAGCAAACGCGAAAGATTATCTAGCAAAACATTAAGTAAATGCAACAAAATTCCAGATGAAAGCAAAAAGTATTAAAAGGCTAGCTAGAATCTCAAGGTAGCAAAATGCTAGTAAAAAGCTAAATGTAGCAAAACGATAAACGCAGCAAAATTAGGCTAAAAATGGAAAGTATCAAAAGGCTAGCTTAAAGCAGAAGTCTTCATCCAGGGTGCACTAACAGCTAGCCAAAACAAGGGCCCATTTCAAGGATTCAAGGTTCTTTATCTGTATACGCAACACGTGTGGTACACGGGCCCCGGTTACATCCAACAAAAGTATAAAATGTAAAAGAAAAAAAAGAGTAATAAGATCTAAGATATGAACTAAGAAATACATTAGCTAAAAATACACTAAACTTGTAGTATAAAAACAAAACGCCGAACAGCAGCACGAACATGAGTCTGTGTGAGCAGATGAGCACGAATGAACACAGCAGCATGAAACAGATCAGCAGCAACATGAAACAGATCAGCAGCAGCACGAAACAGATCAGCAGCAGCACGAACATGAGTCTGTGTGAGCAGATGAGCACGAATGAACGCAGCAACATGAAATAGATCAGCAGCATGAAACAGATCAGCAGCAGCACGAAACAGATCAGCAGCAACACGAAACAGATCAGCAGCAACATGATGTGATTTTTCAGTTATTATTCTGGTTAGAGATTCATGAGTCTAACAGCCTCAGGGTAGAAGCTGTTCCTCAGTCTAGTGGTTCTACACTTAATTCTCTTTAACCTCCTTCTTGAGGGGAGTGGGGCAAAAAGTGCGTGTGCTGGGTGAGTGAGGTCCTTCATGATGCAGGTGGTCCTCTTCCTGCATCTGGAGGTGTAGATGTCTGTGATGGTGGGGAGGCTGATTCCAACAGACTTCTGTGCAGCCTTCACCACTTTCTGCAAAGCTTTTCTTTCTGCAGCTGTGCATCCTCCATGCCACATGTTGATGCTGCAGCACAGGATGCTCTTTTTTGCCATTTATTACTGTTTATCAGTTTTATAAAAAAAAAACTTTCTCAAAAACAACCTATGTTTTGTGAAATACTAGTTTGCTAAATATTAAACCTACGGTCAGCCCACAAACGTTAGCGTAGTAACACTGGCGTTTGGTTGAGAAAACGGCAGCACACTAAACAAATGGTGCCACATGTTCCTTTGTTTACTTCGTTTTTGTGCGAACAACCACGTCGTTTGGTTCAACGCTGCACAGCCGTTCACAGATTACTACTTACAGCGGAAATGCCAGACCAGAAGTCCGATCATCAGAGCAACCACAGCGACAAAGACCACCACACCGATCACGGCGCCGATTTTGCCTGGGCTTTTTTTCTTCTCATACTTTTTGTTGTTCGACGCCGGCAGGAACTGCAGAGACTGCTCAAACTCTTTGTCCTGGAAAACAAACAGGCAAACGGAGAGAAAATTATTAATACACATCTAACCATAGCTTTAATACATTTCCTATGCTTTTCTCATAAAAAAATGTGTTCTTTTATTCCCAAAATGAAGAATGAAAGAACCAAATTTTCAGCATGGATCGGGGTCTCATCCTCAGTAATGAGAGCGTTGCTTTGGTTGGTTATGGTGAAAAAAAAAAAGAGAGTTGAGTCGGAAGTCAAAACTTTTGATTTACTGGTCTGCTTAAGCTCCAATCCTCACCTGTGGTCATGAGGTTTGGATCATGAGTGAAAGAACGAGATCCTGGATAAAAAGGGCTGAAATGAGCTTCTATTGTAAGGTGGCCAGGCTCAGCCTTAAATATAGGGTCAGGAGCTCCGGCAACTGGCAGGAGGTTGGAGTGGAGCCACTGCACCTCCACATTAAAACGAGTCAGTTGAGGTGGTTCGAGCATCTGATTAAGATTCCTCCTGGCCTGGGAACACCTTGGGATCCTTCGGGAGTAGATGGAGTCTGTCCCTGGAAGGGGAAAGGTCTGGGGCCGCTGTGGCTGAGTGGTTAGAGCAAACGTCCTCCAATGTGAGAGTTGTGGGTTGGATTCCACCAGCAGTCACATGCTGAAGTGTCCCTGGGCATGACATTGAACCCCTCACAGTCTCCGATGCGTGTCCCATCGGTGTATGAATGTGATCTATAGCAGTGATTACCATAGTTTTTGTATAGATCTAGTAGAGCGCCGAACGAATGTGTAAACGAGGGCACAGATTGTGTCGTAAAGCGCTTTGAGTATCTTGATAAGATAGAACGGTGCTATACAAGTACAGTCCATCTACCATTTTTCTCCTGGACCTCCATGACCCGACCATGGGTAGGCGGGCGAAGATGGAGATTTTTCAACAGAAGATAAATAAAAAATTTAAGACGGTTGAACTTTTTTCTTTTTACAAAAAAAAAAAATAATTTCTTGAGAACAGATTTGAAAAACGGTAGAAACAATTTAACCCGTCATTAAAACAAAATCTGTGCATAAAAACTCCAAGAGCCCAGTTTCAGGTCCTGGTATTGTGTTCGGCTTTATGAGTCACGGCTCTGCAGAGGTTAAACGGAGCGGAGACGGGAGTGCGAGTACAAAGGTTTCACCGTGTAAAATCCTGTCAAACCTGCTGCGAGTCAACCACACACCGGGAACAGGTTTCCGAGTATTTACTGTAGTAGAACTCAAACACAGTATGGTTGCACAGATGATTAAAACTTCAGAACGATTAAAAACAAACAACTTCAACTTCATACACGACAGTTTGTTTTTTTTTAAACCGAGGATGACACCAAAAAGTGGAACACCATTGAAGGAGGGCGACACTTTCTGTTTAAACGGACACTTGAGCTGAAAGGCAAGAACAAGCTGTACCTTTCCTTCCACTGGTTGACGTAAAGAAAACTTTATGTTGGATTTTGGAGCTTACTGGACACAAAGAGGAACATAAATGACCCCCAATCCTCCCGTGTTTCGGTTACATTATAATAATGTATTACAGAGACACAAGTGGTTTAAAGTTGGGAGAATATATTATTATTATTTCTTGGAAAAACACAGTACTGAAAATACTCAGAACTATGATTCTCTATCTAAATAGTCAAAATGAGATCTACGCATGTCATAAATAATTGCAAGTAATGGGACACCTTTTAATGTTTCAGAGCGCCATCCCTGAGGGACAACCCTTCCACCATAACCCTGTACTTTACATTCATCGTCACGCTGCGATACTGTGAAGTAATCAACTCAAATGAGTCAAAAGAGAGGAGCAAACAAGTCACAACAAGGAGCAGAAACCTACAGGAATTTAGGCCACAACGCCACGACGGCTGCCTTTTAAAGTCCTCAGGAGGACTGCATGAAAATCACAGCCTAAAGAAAAATGGCATCGCATGTATGGAGGTTTCTGGGGGTGCAAAAGAGTCGCACATCATCAAAAATAGAGACAGAAAAAGAACTAGGTGTGTGCACTCTCCCATGACTTGAATATTTAACTTCCTTACAAGCTTTTTATTCAGAAAACACAATCTGCTTTACGCAACCTGTCACCACACCACTGTAAGAATTATGGATGCAAACGGTTCTAAATGTATCGTTTCTGGAGATTGAGCAACAAAATTTTAATTTTGACAGGTTTGTCAACAGATAAACGCGTTGGAGAGCTAGTAGAAAAGTTGAGACCATCCTTCAGGGGCACCTCGAGACATTTTTCAGACAGGAACCACAGATAATCTTGGAGTTGTACGTTTTCATATGTACAAGTAGTCCCTCACTTATCGCAAGGAGTTACGTTCCAGACACTCCCGCTATATGTGAAAATCTGCAAAGTATGGTTGTTATATTTATTTTAAAATTTATATATATTTTAAGGCTTTATAAACCTTTCCCACACTCTTGCAATGTTCTTAACAATGCTCTAAACTCTCTAAATGCTCTAAAAGAGCACAGCGAAAGAGAGCAGACAGACTGATGCTACGGTTACTGAGCCAATCAGCGCCCGGGGCGGACTGGCCATCGGGAGCACCGGGAAATGTTCCGGTGCTCCCGATGGCCAGTAGCGATGGGGAAAGACAGACCTCACCCCGCCCCCTCCTTTTTCTTTTGTGTGTCTGCTCTGATGTGACGGACAGCCTCAGAAAGAGAAAGGAGGGGCCCCCTCGGCAATCACTGAGCAGGCCAGGCCACCGGGAAATGTTCCGGTGCTCCCGATGGCCAGT